ACTATCTCAAAAGGCCAGCAGAATGCCATGACGGATATATAAAGGAGTGCCTACTTCAATTTGGACCTGCCCCTTCTACACTTCTTTGAAGACACAAAATAAGTAATTGCCTTTACAAACTTGGGGAAGGGAATGTGCAATTGGTACCTGCTGCTGTGCCCAAACAGAAGATGACCCTCTGAAACACGCAGAGGTTGCCTCCATACAGTGAAACTAGCTCGTTGACTGGAAAATCCCATCTGGTCTTTTTAATTGGCCTTAAGTGGTCATTATTTGGATTAATCAGCTATCACCACATAGTTAAGAGGCCCACCATTGCCCGTTCTGGTTGTGGTTCAAAGTCCAAAGCCACTTTGTGGTAACATTTCACTGTGAGTTCTCACCCATTTAAAATAAAGCATTTGGGTTTTCCAGAGGCTCCTCACTAAGATATAGGTGAGGGTGCAGTTGAGCTTACATTACCCCTTTTCCTTCTGGCCCCACAAAGACGTTTTAAAGCTGGAAATGCCTCTTTGTCCTATAGACCATATTCTTACCATGAAGGGATTCACTATGGGCATTCTGGAGGTTTCTTAGTTAACATGATGACAGAGCCCCATTGAAATAATAGTACTCTGATTTGTATGAATACACTTGACAAATTGGCACTTTAAAATGAGTACAGAGTGGGAATTTGATCAATTCTGTTTAACTGCCCACCACTCTGTTTTTGCCCAGCAGGATATGTTACATTTTCCACCTGGGCATCTGAAATAAGAATGGTCTTACATTTTCAATTGCATCTTGGTGTCACATCTTCCATTTCTTGCGTAATTATCTTTTGACATTTCTGAGTGAGATCCAAATAGGACAAAATCCTTCACTTGGATTAGTGCTCTCACAAAAGTAAAAATGTCAAGCTTGGAGGTATCATTTAGGTAATACAAAATAATCATCAGAGATTTAATTTCACACCAAGAACTGTTTTATATTTTAAGTTTCTTTATATATCAGTTCATTGTATATAGATTCCTAAAGGTTAATTCCCTGATCATTTGTGTAATGTTCTTATTTTTGGTTTTGAGCATTTTCAACAAATACTATGCATAAATACACTCTGAACAGACTTTTCACTAAATCCAGTATTATATTTTGATGAATATAAATCTATTCCTGTTGTTATTTCAATGTGAGCACCTTGTAAGATATTTTAAATTTGTTTCCATTTCCTGATCACAAATCTTTATAAATATTGGAAATAACAAACATCCAATCATAAATATAGCAAAAACACAAATAAGAAAATGCATAACATTTTAATATCTAGTTTTGCTTCCAATAGCGAACCATTTGTTTCAAACCCTTCTCGTCCAATTCTCTCTGTGCGCGACTAAAATGATAAGTTACAGGATGTAGTTATTATTTCAGCCTAACCCGGAAAATTTATTCACTACTGTAAAAGAGATAATTACCCAAATGGTTAAATTGTAATATACGTTTAGCCGGTGGATTTGTGTCACTGCAGTAATTGTAAATAATTAGAAAATTGTAGGATGTTCGCTGTTATTGGGAACTACAGCTCAAAAACAAAAAGGCGTGCTTTTAAACTACAAAAGGTAGCTAACCACTCAGTTCAGAAAAGGATGCCTGGATGATATTGGTGTAACTGAGCAGTATTATTTTATTAGAGGACATATTAAATTGATAGACAACGTAAAAGTCAGTAGCATGTATTCATAGGGTTATGACAGATTGTCGCTGAGGCAAACTTTGTCAAGAGCAAACAAATATCAGAAGATTCACATCTGAACTCCTCAATGCAGCGTATCTTCATTAAATTGCAAAATACTGCACAACTTATGCCAATATGTAGAGGGTCGGCAAATCACATCCTGTTCTTTGTACTTATATTCTCTTTTATGTTGTGCATGTTTGGACCTGTATCAATAATGACAGCCGTAACAATTCAATGAAATCACTGAACCTTATATATGTTACTTACGAAGAAGCTGATTAGACATTTCTGCTAACTTTCGTTTCATGAAAAGTATTCCCAATATCTGATCATCCCCCAAACAATGAAAATATCTGAGCCTGTAGACGTAAATGACACAACAACATTTATTTGGGTGTAGAATTACAACTCGGTGGGGTAAGAGTGCAATATTGAAATACACGTATTTAACCCTCCGATGTTATCGTGTATGTGGTGCGTTGTGGGCTATTAGATTACCCTATTTATTTTTAAGTGAACAGAAATTGTTCATGAAATGCAAGAAACTGTTTCCTATCCAAGATTAAAGCACAACGTTCCTAGGATCTAATTGGTAAATAGGCCTGTTAACGTCATTAGGATTCCCCGTAAAGAGATTCGGATTGTTTGTGTCTATTTCCGAAACTCTGCAATACTTCTTGTGACAATGAGATTTGGCATCTATTAAGGCCTAAGCACATTTTTTAAAAATCAACTTTTGCGTCTATTCACAAGATACCATCTGTGTAAAGTAAAAAGGAGCTTATACATTCATGCAATTATATAACTTCAGTAATTATGTCACGATTAGGCAACAAATTAGATAACTGAATCAAGATAAACTAAATCTATTTGACTGAAGAAAAGAATATCTTATTGTTCAGTTCCCTTGGAATAATGAGCCCTTCTTAAGTGCATATTTTATGTGTGCTGGATATAGATAGAAACAAAAATTCAATGAATAAATATCTATGTTAATGTAGAGTATGAAGTTCCTTTGATTTTTTTTTACCGCACAGCTACTTCTATACCTTTTTCCCCCATCTCTCTTGTATAAATTTGGAGCCAGTCTGCAACATTCTGCCTTCTCTTCTTAATTGCTTCGTTGCCTGGTCCTTCTCTGCCTCCTACTTTGACCTTTTACAAACAGTAACAGCTGACAAACACAGGAGCATCTGTTTCACTTTATTCCAGGCAGATCTTCGCAACAAAATAAAAGATCGTGATCAACAACCTCACAAAGACCAATCGACAAGAAATGTAACTGTAATTAGTTGGACAAAACGTTGATGTGGAACATTTAATATAGGTCCTTAAAATTGTAGAAACGTGATATACAAGTATAATCATGATACATATCAACAGTTGTTCATAATACATTAAAGAAATAAATAATATCCGCGTTGTGCATTCAAATTTACTTTGTTCATGTTGTGTCGCACGTCGACAACATAATAAAAAGTTGAGTGTGATGTTGGGATCTGCCACATAATCTCGTCAATCACTATAATCTGTGTAAACTCGTTGAAACTCATTAAAATAGCTTTCGCTCATGTAGACACGAGGCTGTATTTCCTCCAAAGTATTCACGAATAATATTAAAAATCCATCTCGTAAAATAATATTTCAACTAATATTCAATATTGCGTTATGCTCTTACCATTCCTAATTATTAATGTATAGTATCTTAAACACATAGTAATATTTTTTGAATATTTTTGCTTCATAACATTTGCTACTTTCTCACTATTTCCGCTGTAAGAGCTGCCAAACTGAGGAATGGGTTTTTCGCGTTAGAACTCTTGTAGCGTTCTGAATCTCCCAACACATAAAAGTGAAAGCGTTGTTCATAATGACAGATTGGTAGTCAAACATATGTAACATGCAGGTAATTAGTCTATTCAAGCTGTATGTTTAATAAACTATAAACAAAGCTTCTTATGTAGATCGGTTCAGTTAGTTAACCCCCGTCCTCTCTTTTCCCATTTGCACTCCAGGACAGCGATAGTAACACAGGTCAAATGGTGCGAGCATCCGAGAGGATGCTTAATTAGCCCTGGTTTCCACTGTTAGCGCTATTAGTAGGCTCTATAAATAATGTCAGAACTAAAACAGCGCTTACACGGAATCATCTGCTGCCACCATCTTTTAAGAGTTACAACCTGAGTTAATAGGATACAATGTATGGTACAGCCACTGTCTGAGTGCCTTTGGCCTTTCCTGCATTAGATTCCCTTTAGTAAACTCCTAACAAATGAGCACTTTTGAAAACGAAACCACGACGCCGCTTCGCTTTCTACAACCTCCCTCCTCTATTACATTATTTTTTGGCTGGATGTGTTTTTCCCCGATAAATATTTTACTTGCCATCAGAATAGAAATGCCGGTGGTGGAATATTGCTTCCACTCGTCTTTGTACAATTGGGTCGTGAGCATAAGCGATAATAACTAAATGAAAACATACTAATTGGTTATTTCAGAAACCTTTGCATTTCTTTTCACGCACATAATGATGCTTACATTGGAACGATGTTAATCATTAACACAACATATTATAATCTACATCGTCTAGTGATGATGGATTATTCCCGATCGATAGGTATAACAAACCAGTGACTAACAGTACTGTAAACAAGTTGTGTGTCCCCATGTGGGGCTGTTGACGATATTTCCCATGGACGCGCGACCAACACTGTTGTGTATAATCGATCTTCAGCAGCAAGTCAAAATAATAATAAGACTAATATACTTTGAACCTGTGATGTTCTGCCTTGCGTAAATGCGTTGTTTTAAAACTATTGAACGCATTGTGGCATTTTTCATCATCGTACGCCAATATTAACACTCATAATATTTCTTAGAAAGAGAAACGACATCGAAAATGATTTTTATAAATCACACACACAATTTAGCTACAATTTTAAGTCCTCTTAAAACAGTAATTTCAATGCTCCCGTGTGCTGAATTCAACTATTTCCCTCTGATTGTAATTGTTGGTAAGGAGGAACTAAAACTATCTAAAATGAGGTGATGTAGCCTTTGCAACTTAGAATTCAATGACTAGGACCAGAGACTGGTTCGATTGAGTGCAGCACACAGCTATTGGTCTGGGCACAAACTTACTCTGGTGATTAAGGTGCAAACACCGATTTTGCCCTTCATTTTCACGGTGCATTGGATGATTTTAGGCCACGATCGGCTGTAATGGATCTATCATCAGGAAACAATTACCTTTTCAGTGTAGTTCAACTGATGATAGACACTGTTATTTCAGAAATAGGATCGCTTTATTTCTTATTACACTAAATAACATCCAGCAGCTTGAAATTGCCATGTTCTTCAAAGCTGCCCATTGGAGAAAATTGCTGCATTTATCGCGTTGTGCATCTCTGGAGAACGAAATCCAGCGTGAATCAAACATCAGGCATCCTAAATGTAACAGAAACACATCTTTCAATATATCTGGAAATGTTCTAGGCGGTTGAAATATTAATAACTGAATAAATAATAACGCTCAAACTTCATATCAATTTAAATACCCCAGAATGACATACTCCACGGGTTGAGGAAATAGGGTTCTGATTTACTTATAAACTCTTGTACTGGAAGGTCATTGTACATCAAGACCTTACAAATTTAAACGAATTGCTTAAAATAATCACTCGCTGTGATTTAATTTTGGGCGATCTTTTAATTTGTAAAGTGGGGCTATTACATACTGATCTCGTTCCAGGTTCAGATCACTCAGTGCAAGTGGAAAGACTTCGGTTTGTATGCAACGTCTATGGATCTCCAATGCAGATTTTTTTAAAGACAGGATCAAATTTGTTGCCTATCCTTTCAAAAAGATTGTGGGTATGCATTGCTTCCGAAAGCACATGATTTGCTAACCACGAAGTGCAGTCTGCATACTAAAGGCTTAATTTGCCCGCAGCTGCGGTTCACCGAAGCTTTTATAAAGTGGATGTGGTTTCTCGGCCACCTGACTGCATTATAGCGATGATATTATGCCATAAAATGTATAGATGTCCATTTCAACTTTATCTGTGTTGAGCTTCGCTTCTCAAACTTACTATCACCATGAGAAGTGGAACTGCCTTAGTTATCTGAAGGATCAGGTGCAGTGTAAGAAACGCGGTGGTGAGTTACAAGAGTCTCTCGTAAAACCAGAAGTACAGTAATTGGTAACAGACTACGCTGTGAGTAGTGCAGCCAAGTGGGTCTCGCCAGCACGACACGATATCTAATAAATATGAACCCGGGACATACTTTTATCACCGACGCGAGAGGATTAAGTTCGATTACCTGATGCATCAATAATTTATAGCGCATAGTATCATAGAATCATAAAATCGACTCTTCTGCGTTAACGATTTTGCCTTTTTAATATTTTCATGGTATTTATTTTGTCGTGTTTTTTTTCCGCTTTAACATTAAAATCGCCATTTTTATATTCTGTTATTGTAAATGCGAGTTTTCCACAGTGACTAATGTGTATCCTATAGGTACACCTGCAATAAAGAAACGCGTCCTTCAGATAATAGAGAAGCCGGTTTCAGTAATAAATCCTTCGTTCAGTGTAAATGATTTGTGTTGATAAAAAGTCTTCTTGTTAAAAAAAGCTTAGAAAAGCTTTTGCCACGCCAGAAATATTTGTCGCTCAGTACATTGGTGTTTGAAACACTAATCAAAATAATGCTGTGGAGAGTCTCCTTTTTTTATATAAATGTACAGCGTATAGCTTGTAAGTGTACACAAGTACTAAATAAACAATTACGGTATTGACTTTGGAATGACATCTCTATCAAGCCCACTGAGCATCACGTGCTTAATCATTAAAATTGTAATAATTAATACTATATTGAGTCAATATTTCAGAACATGTTTCTGAAAACATTACCACAGAAAGCTACAGTTGAAATCACAAGGCGGATAAATCAAAATCAAGATACTATTTTGCCATAATTATCACTGCATTGACTATGACTTTATAATGTCGTGTGAGATCCTTTTTAATTATAAATTACGCATTTTACATATGAGGTGCGAACTGCAATATTGAATTCCACCCAGTTTGTGTTCCAGTGTTTGGAATAATGCTCACGATGTTGAAATGACAAGGTTCACTTCTGAAATGTATACTCTCTTGTTTTGACTGGGTGCACTGGCTGTTTCCCGACCGTGTTTCACAGCTGAGGTGCCTAATTGTCAGCTCCTTCAACAGACACTAATCAAGCAATTTCCCCATCCCAGCCCCATCAAATTGCTCTTTAGCTGTTGAACTGTAGAGTTTTGCTCCTCTTTTCTCATGCTAATCACGGCCATTCATGCGCTCACTGTGAGGCTATTTGTAGTGGGAATAAATACCCTTGTTTGCCTGCCGCATGATTAATTGATATTGTTATATGGCTTTTGTTTGTGCTACCGGGAGCTGAAAGGCAGCACATATTGTATGTGACGAAGGGAGACAGAAACATCATTTCACCGCTGGGGTCTCCGAAAGGTCGAGGAAGGTTCCAACTGCATTATTCATCGTATTCATTTTTCCTCATTAAAAATATGATGAAAGCTTAAAATAGGGGGCTCGAGGTTTTATTGACCAGTCCCTTCAGCCACATAGAAACAGCCTGATCACACACATTTAGACAGCTGCAGCTTTCTGCAAGTCTCTTGTTTAGATTTTTTTTTGTCTTTGTTGCCAACACTAAAGCTATCTAAAGCTGCATATGTCTGAAGAACTGTATTTCTCATCTGTTGTAAATTAATATGGTAATACCATCGACTGGTATTTCTGTCTGATGCTTTTCAACGTTTTTCCTCCTGAATTACAAAAAACAGAGAATTTTCCTTTTCCTGTGCAGAGAGGTAATTGATATGCCGCATCAGGGGTCAGGATTTGCATAAGAATTAAGTGCAGTAAATTAATTTAATATTCCATGCACATCTACAATTATTCCTGCAGACCTTTGTTTCAGTGTCTTAGAGATAGAGGTTCAGCTGCTCTTCAGCCAAACGACATCTGTGCTGTTAATAATTTGATAAACAGCTAATACAAATAGTTTCTGAATTATCTGGCTGCCCAGGGACTAGTCAGAGAGACTTGCAACATTTGGCATAGTGTTTTATGTGGAGCAGGTTTTATCTGACGAATGACGAAATTCATTCGCCACAACCTTGGATTCAATTATTCGTTCGATTCAGATGACACGAGGAAGCAGCCAGGAAGACGATTTGTATATTTGGGGTCTCAGTTCACACACTAAAAAAAAAGCATGACCCCCACCGATTGAGTAATCAATATTTAACATTTGTAACCATTGCCATAAGACTTTTATTCACATTGATTAACTGGGGTCGATCTGCATTTGGAACATTTGTTACACACTCCAGTAAAATAACTAACTTTAAATACATTTCAGATTGTACAATTATTTCTAGACATGGTAACCCTTTTCCAGGTTACCACTAAATATCGTGTAATTGATGGTTGTACTTTGTGATATTCCTGAAATTCAGCTTCATGCTGACATTTTGTATTACAAATTTTGCAATAATACTACAAATTTAGAAACTCAAATGAATTACAATGCATGCCAAGTCCCACACAGTGTACCTGAAAGAAGCAACCTTCGGGATTTCTGCTATTGCCTGAATGGTGTAATAAATAATCAGCTGATCGACAAGTTTAGCAGGCGACATATTCGTTCCAATTCAGTAACTCCTTCTTTCAAGTATCTGGTCAAAAAAAGACAAATCGCGTATAATTCATGCGGTAGGAAAAAAACATTTTTGTTGAGATAAAACTTTTATACCATGTTTCCCATGCAACAGCGACTTTCAGTATTAAAAAAAAACCTAAGACCTTCACTGAGGTGCACGATTATGGTAAGGCCAATTATCTAATACCACGCCGTTTTACGTCTACAAGTTTCTTAAGCTTTTCACATTGGCAGAGGAGCATACCTTTTGTATTTATTGGAATGGTAGCCGATTTTTGTACCATATGCAAAATGCCACATGTCCATACGACTATTTGGCGGAAATTTTGAGGCAAACGATGTCACAAATTAAGCAGAAAAATACATAGGCGTCATGGTCTTTAGACTATGCAGCCCTTCGTATTCCTATTGTCAATGTAACAACTTGCATTTAATATGAGTACATTGTTGGAATTCCATTTTTACGTTTTAGGGTTTAAATCTTTTCCATTTATGTTTGTCTCTGTATGTTTACATTTTAATGTACACAGACATAAAACGTGAATAAATCAATGATATATTTCCCCTTTTCGGAGTTTTCACACGAGTAACTGTAATAGCCCACTCATGTCAAGAGGAGTCTTAGGAACCTTCCTGAAGCTGCAACAGTAGGGTTAACAGAAAAAAGTAAATCCCTGGGTTAACATGACTTCCAGCCTTCTGCTGCTTCACTCATACCTTGTGCAGTGATCATTAAAAACGTGCGACAGGAATTGTTTCTTTCCCACTTAAGATAAAACAACTTCATTATAACGGAGACATACAGATGGGAATGTAGCAAACAGATTTAAAGGGAAATTAGAGAAACACGCCACTTCATTTAAACCATACTGTTTGATTTCATAGCAAGTATTTCAGTTAAGTGCGAGTACTTGAGAGCTGAATAACACGCACAATTTAGACGCCACGTTTGGATATATTCATCAAAGCACGCTTTCAAATCAATTCTTAAAATTTAGAGTATTCAATAATCGAAGTTGTGGAGGGATATTATAGACACCCACTTTAAGTTTGGGCATTTACAAAGCGGACCAAGAGCATTTCACACACTTAGGCACCCGCGCATACGAATTGTCTTGTATCAAAATTTTACAGAGCTGTGATTATATTCTGATTAGACAGTTTATATAAAAACGTTTAAGCGACGGAACTATGTAAAATTTACCATTTCTGTTTTTCTTAAAAATAAACTGGCCAACAACGCTTAAAACGAAAGTACTTCGAAACGATTGCCGATTGCACTCTGGTTGAGCAATACCACCATTCTTTTGGCGATGTTGTTTACATTGTTTCATGACAAATATCAAACTTTGACTAAAAGAATTAATCTTTGGTATATATTTTGTTGTAAGTTGATAGTTCCTCACCTGTGCTGGCCTGTATCCGTGATCTCCTCCTCGTGCTGCGATTGGTATTCTTACCTACCTAGCAACCAAACCCATAATACGAGGCATCTGGTGCTCTGCCCTATATATGTTACAGCAATAAAGGGAATGTTAGAGCTTCGTGTGGAGAAAATCGCTACAGCACCCCCGCCGTTGCTCTGTAATTTACCCATTCACACCATTATGTGATAAATGTCGAGAATACCAACTCAAACAATCCTAACATTTATATTTCTGGGGTCTTGGCACCAAAGCCGTTTGCTTTTATTCTGATTAGTGCCTTCCCATAGGTCTACCATGCTTATTTATTTGTCAACAAATGTAGAAAAGCACTTCCAAACAATTATACCTAAAGATCTATGGTAACATGAGGTGGCAAGTACAACATTGCTCGCCTCTCCTCCCTCGGGCTCCTAGCTGTTGGCAGTAGCAGGAGACGTTTCCGAATCCAAGTTACCTTCAGCTAACAGTTTAGTTCACGTGTATTTCAGGATCGCGTAAAAAATGCATTTTACATAGGAACGTGAACATAAAGTGAAATTTCGTACTAGCCTTCGCTCAGAAGAGGCGAGATTCAGACTCAGCAGGCCAACATTCTAATTTGGCTGGAACATCAACAGTGGGTTCCGAACCAACAAAGTATTTCTGAAGGGTCCAGACCCGAAACGACAGCTTTCCTGCTCCTCTGATGCTGCTTGGCCTGCTGTGTTCATCCAGCTCTACACCTTGCTATCTCAGATTCTCCAGCATCGGCAGTTCCTACTATCTCTGAAAGTATTTACATGTTATCTTTTATATTATGCAACTTTATTGTGACAAAGACCATTGTTACGAAGCTGACAACATATCCGTGTAAATCATAAGACCAGCTTATACCAGTTGGATATGTTTATGTATATGTATCTAAACGGCTGAAGGGAACTACCATCAAAGTCTGATTGTGAAAATATTTGGATTTCTGGAGATCAGATTGCTGGGAATTTGTTCCTATCCAGCGGCGTTGCTCTCGATCGAGTAGGAATGTGGCGTGTGCACCGGGCAAGGCAACGGGTGGGGTTCGCTGATTTGGGTGGGAGCTAGTTCCAAAAATGAGTCTGAAGATGGACGAGGTGTTAGAGGTTAGGGAGAGAGTAATGTACGAATTGAGCACTAGCGAAGACAGGTGGGGAGCACTTTACGAAATCCATAAATCAGTTGTGAGACAGGTAGAACAGTGGAGCTGCAGATTTCGTCCGACAATCTCGATTTTTAGAATTCCAGGCGCCGAGACAAACTGCACACCTCGGAATTTTTAAAATTTGAATTATTTATAATAATTGGTCCTATCAACAGGGACTTGTTTGAAACGCAGTAGCAACAGTTCCCACGACCGCACCTCCCCCACCCCGAATTGATTGGACAATTTATAGGAAAGTAAGAGTGGAAGGAGAGATTTTATTTTTAAAAAGTTTTTGAACTCCATAGAAAATAATTTTCTGCTCTCCTCATTTCTTAATCGGAAAATAGAAACTTATATTTGCACTGTGCCTTATTAGACCCTCAGCTTATGTCAAGTGCCACATAACTCAATAGTCTACTTTTGAAATGCAGATATTGGAATATAAGGCAACGATAAAAATTGAGGCTTGTCTAATGAGGAAGAAACAAATGAACGCTGAATGTTCACAATGCACATAAGGGACACAACAAATGTCATTCAATCAATTTACTACTAAAAGATTTTTTCTCTTATTTAATATGTTTTTTTTAGAAATTATGTATTCATTTCATGTTTTGCTGTTTAAAAGATTGCCTTCAAATCTGAAATCTGGTTTTACTGCTTCTTTCATAATTATGTAAATCATGAACATTGTAAAAAGAAATCGGTGTCTGTCAAGTTCATCGTGACTGTTTATATTTTCATCCTACCTTTCTTTGAGAAAAGATGGATGCCTGCTTCAACCATCCCAACTTGCTTTTAAAAAAATTCTGCACAAGCATGCTGGACACCAGCAACATTCTTAACATTGGCATTAATCATATACCAACTGGCAACAGAAATTAGTATAAACTTAACGACTTTGAAAATAATTAGAATTGATGACAATGTGAGAAGAATAAGACCAGAACATGTCAGTACAAAAGTAAAATACTGTGGATGCTAGGCATCTGAAATAAAGACAGAAAATGATGGAAATATTCAGCAGGTCTGGTAGCTTCTGTGAAATCAGTCAACATTATAGGTTGATTACTTTTTGTGAGGAGAAATGGTAGTGTTTGTTTATTACTAATTTTCTGCCCATGGTTTTAGAAGTTTGGTTAGAATGCAAATAATACACCTTATGCCAGCTTTTCCATTGTTCGTTTAATTTTTAAACTCTAATAATATAAAATAGATCTTTTTTTGTTTTAATTTCTGGAATTTATTATATGCTAATTTATCATTCAGGTAAATTAATCCTTTGTGACCAAAACACTCAAACATCAGATACAATTCTGTCTGTTTTAGTTTCAAATGAATATATGTAAGAAGTTTCATCACTTTAAAATTAGTCACCAATTACTCATTTGTGAGAGAAATGAATTTTAGAGAGCATTAAAAATAAAAAATAAGAAGATAGGTTTTTGTATCAGTTAAAATTTTAAGATATGTAAGGCCTGTAATGAAAAAGCAACATGTTTTAAGCTACATTTTGGGACAGCTTTACACTTAAAATCAAAGGCGTTTTTATAGTTCATGCCATTCAACTGGGGTAAAGTATAATCAATGCTATTTTCTTTTTCCCCGTTTTGAAGGCAGATGTCACATGGGGAAACAACAGTAGGATGAATATCACCTGAGCTTGCAAAACAATGCTATTATAAGATTCATGGCTCTTTAAACCATATCCGCTTATGAAACAATAAAGTAATAATGTATGAAACAGGTGCCTGGCATCTCTTTGGGATCTGAAAAGAGCATTGTGTGCTGATCACTTTATCATAGCATCACCAAATTATATTTGTTTGTTTATATAGTTCAAAAATTCATTTAGTTCAGAACATCAGTATTAAGCCTCGTATTGTTAATGGATTATGCAGTGTTATGGACCAGACCAAACTGTGTCAAAATATATTAAGAAGATAATCTAGACCCTAACATTTTAAAGGGAAGTGTAAGGCGTTGTGTTCCAGATGCAATTCGATTGGTCAAACTACCAGACTTGAAACAAAACACACTTTATTCATCAACCATAATTAAAATACAGACAAAACAAAAAAAGAATTGGCTTAACTGTAACTCTATTGAAATGCTTAACAAAGTAATACTTATATTAACTACTACTAATTAACTGTTCCAATATTATAACATCCAATAAGCACACCCTTGACAAAGGCACATACTGTAAAATGGATCGTCTCACATGCAATTCTAGCAGCAGGAAGAGAATGCCAGTTTTTAGCTGTAACACAGTGAGGAATAAGAGCTGCCATATCCAGCTTCAAGACCCCAGCAACTGCTACTGAAGGTTAAAACTAAAAAAAACTGGCCTGTAGGAGCTTGCCTCCATCCATTCCAGGTGCTTCTATTGTTCCAACTTTAAAAAAAACTCAAGGCCTCACAAGCTGTATGCTTTATTGGCTTTGGAGCAGGCTGCTCACAATCTTTGTCTCAACCTTTCTTCATAAAAAAAGGACAAAATACACCTCTTAAAGCCATCATATCAGCCTACCTCCCCCTTTTAAAAAATGAACCATCACTATACAGAGATGGCTTCATTTTTAAAAACCTTTAACCTTATGATATTAATACACAACAATACATATACATAACATTGACTCTAAACATGAAAACCTTTACTGCTACAGTCCATTACGGTATGTTTCTCCCACCACCAAATACCTCCATCTTCCTTCATTTAAGTTGCGACAATACATCAACAATTACATTCTCTCATCCTGCCATGTGTATAATTTTAAACTGAATGTCTGCAATAATAAGCTCCACATAAACAGTGTTACTTTTATCATTAAAATTTTCCAAAAACTTTAAGAGGTTATGATCAGTATAAGCAATTGCTTCAGACACATGATTCCGATATAAATGTTGAAGTGTTGTAACACCAACACCAAACTGAAGGTCTCCTTCTCAATCGTAAAATATTTATGTTGATGATTACTCAATTTTTTGGAAAAATACCCAATAGATCTTTCTAGCATCTCATTGTTTTCCTGCAAGAGTACAACACCTGCATCCACATTAGTCACATCGATAGCCACTTTTCTTTTTATAGAATCCCTACAGTGTGGAAACAGGCCATTTGGCCCAACAAGTCCATACCAACCCTCCAAAGACCATCCCACCTAGACCCATTCCCCTACCCTATTCCTGCAACCCTGCATTTCCCATGGCTAACACACCCCAACTACACTTCCCTGAACACCATGGGTAATTTAGCATGTCCAATCTATTTAACTTGCACACCTTTGGATTGTGGGAGGGAACCGGAGCACCTGACGGAAACCCATGCAGACACAGGGAAAACATGCAACCTCCACACAGACAGTAACCCAAGGGTGGAATCAAACCTGGGTCCCTGGCGCTGTGAGGCAGCAATGCTAACCACTCAGCCACCAAGCAACTTTGAATGGCTTTGCGTGATTAGTGTGGCTAATGTTGGGGCAGAAGTTAGCACAGCTTTCAGGCTGTCAAATGCCTTCCGATATTCCTTTGTCCACTGAAATTTTCTGCACTTCTTCAACAAGTCAGTCAGTGGAACCACACTGCTAAAATTCATTATGAACATCCAATAAAACCAATTCAGTCCCAGTAATCATAGTGCTTCCTCTTCATCAATCATTTGGGAAAATCTCCAATAATCTTTGTTTTCACATCCCATGGGCCATCTTTCCATGTCCACTGACATAAGTCAAGATGTGACTTGAGCTTTTGTGCACTCACACTTTGCCAGGTTTATCACCAAGTCCACCTTCCAAAGTCAATCAAACAATTCTAATAGATGCTCCAAAAGTTCCTTCCATGTGTGACCAAAAATTATCAGATTGTCAAGGTACACCACACAATTGGGTAATCCCAAAATGACTTTATTGGTTAATCTTTGAAATGTGGATAGTGCATGAATTTAAACTGGTACAGTCCATTCGGCGTCACAAAAGCTGAAATTTCCTTTGCTATTTCGAAAATAGGTAACTTTCAGTAATCTTGGAGTAAGTCCAACTTTTAAATGTAAGTTACTTGTCCCACCTTCTCAATACAGTCTCCCAAATGTGAATAGGGTATGAATCAGATTTTGTAATTGCATTGATTTTGTGATAATCCACATATAATCATTGGGTGCCATTTGGTTTTGGCACCAATACCATGGGTGAGCTTCAGTTGCTACAACTCAGTTCAATTATGTTTGTCTTTGAGCGTGCACTGAATTTCTTTATGAAGCCTTGCCAACTTTAGAGGGTTAAGTCTATAAGCATTTCCAA